CAGTAAATGTTGTTAGCTCACCCTTAAATTAGGTCGTATTTGGACAAAAACAGAGTACTTTGGTCTGTTTTTCAAATTCTTGGTTAATAGTGTTATTATATATAGCTTTTGGTTTGTGGAACCTCTCTATTATTTTTTGATTGGGAATGAAAGATAATGGAGTAGGTAAAGGAAAAGTGGAGCTAGATTTATTTATGTTGTACCCACTGAAATGGCAATTTATGTATCATATGCGATATGAGATATATATCATATAAGATATATGATATGTGAGAGATATATCATATGAGACATCTCATATGAGATATATCACATGATACATATCATATGATACACCTCAAATGACATGTATTGTGATATATCTCATATATGTGATATATGATAGATCTCATATATATCTGATATATGATATATATTATGTATATATATATTTTTTTCAAACGGAGTCTTGCTCTGTCACCCAGACTGGAGTGCAGTGGTGCAATCTTGGCTTACTGCAACCTCTGCCTTCTGGGTTCAAGCAATTCTCCTGTCTCAGGCTCCCGAGTAGCTGGGACTACAGGCGCATGCCACCATGCCTGGATAATTTTTGTATTTTTAGTAGAGATGGGGGTTTCACCATATTAGTCAGCCTGGTCTCGAACTCCTGACTTCAGGTGATCCACCTGCTTCAGCCTCCCAAAGTGCTAGGATTACAGGCGTGAGCCACAGCACCCAGACTGTGTATCATGTTTAATCTTCACAAGAAGAAAATAGAGACTATTCCTCCCAAAGTGTTGGGATTACAGGCAGTGAGCCACTGTGCCTGGCCAAGGATGTGTTTCTTGATATGAGTGTATTCAGTTTGAACATTTGTTCAGCTGTACACGGATGATTTGTGTACCTTTCTGTATATATGCTATATTTAGTGGAATGCTGGTAAACCAGCTTTCAGAAAAAAAAGAAGGAAAAAATAATAATAATAAAAAAGAGGCCATTACTTCCCATTTCACAGATGTGCATATGTTTGATAAGCATATGTATTTTCTTTAACTGTGTATTAATGAAATACCGCATATTCTTGACTTGTTTTGACCATGGACTTTGCTGAAATTGCAGTCTCTCAGGCTGGCCATTGAACTAGCATGCTGACCACTTTTTTCTTTCTCCAAATGAATCTGGGTTTGAGCCACTCTGATGTGGATGAACATTGGAAGTGCTTAGATTTATCTCTGCTTTTTGTCAGCCTAAATAACAGAGAGAATCTCTCGAAGAGAAAATGACACTTATTCAGGAATAGGACATGGCAGTGGGAATACATGTACCATAGCTATGTGCATGTTCAGGGCGGTTAAGGAAGACAAAGATTTTTAAAGAAAAATGACAATTACATGATTGTATTGAGATACTTATCCTTGGCTACAAAGATCAATAACAAGGATGACACCAGTCCTAGGTTGGATAGGCAGTTGCTGGGCAGATGTCCTTGCAGAAATATTTTTTTGTGTAGGATTGCAGTGGCCCTTGTGCAAGGTTGTGGTTTTTACAGAGTCTTTTGTGGTAGTTTTTGTTCTGAGGCATTTATGCCTGAATAATATGTTTTCATATACCCGAATCTATTTGTCAAGGTTGTTTTTTTATTTTTATTTGATTTTTTATTTTTTTAAACACAAATAACTCCATTTTGATTCTGACAACTTTCACATTTTCAAATGAAGGTCTTCATTTTCTATCATTTAAAAATGACTTAAATTGTTTTTTAAACCATTATTAAAGTAACATGCTCACTTACCTTAAAACATTTGAAAACACAGAGTTGTGAAGAAAAAAAATTAACTATAGTCCCACGCAATTAAAGACAGTCACTGTGAAAATTTGTGCTTTTCTTTCTTTCTTTTTTGAGACGGAGTCTCGCTCTGTCACCCAGACTGGAGTGCAGTGGCATGATCTTGGCTCACCACAACTTCTACCTCCCGGGTTCATGCAGTTCTCTGCCTCAGCCTTCACAGGTAGCTGGAACTACAGGCACCCACCATCACGCTCGGCTAATTTTTGTATTTTTAGTAGAGACGAGGTTTCACCATGTTGGCCAGGCTGGTCTTGAACTCTTTACCTCATGATCCACCTGCCCCGGCCTCCCAAAGTGCTGGGATTACAGGCGTGAACCATGGTGCCCGGCTGAAAATTTGTGCTTTTTTTCCTGGTCCTTTAAGAAAATACTTCTTTCATACAGCAGTAGACTTTTCTTCCTTAACATCCACATCATAAGAAATATTATCTTGTTGCTTTGGTTTCTGAATGTTGTCTGTGTTAATCTTTTTCTTTTCTTTTTTTCCCCTAAGGCGAAAAAGAGCCCAGGTTTCTTGGTTTGTTTCATGAGGTATGAAAATTAGCTCATCTTTCCTCTCTGCCTTCTCTTCTAGGGGTCTGAAGACTATGAGGCTGCTCTATCAGGAAAGGAAGCCCTTTTGGCTGAGCTGCGCTCACAAAACCTCACCAAGAGTGCAGAGAACCACAGACTGCGTAGAAGCATTAAGAAGATCACCCAGGAGCTGAGTGACTTGCAGCAGGAGAGGGAGAGACTGGAGAAGGACCTGGAGGAAGCCCATCGAGAGAAGAGCAGAGGAGATTGCACCATCCGTGTGAGTACCGCCTTGCCCTTCTCACACAGTGGACAGTGCTTTGTGGGGCCATGTGGCTGTGTCTGGTTGTAGGGTGGTGTTCAGTACAGAAGACTAAAGAAAATACTTTACTTATTATCTCACTACCTAGAAATGACCAGCTTCATTTGATCTATTTGGTATTTCAGTCCTTTTATTCTCTTTCTCTCTCTCTCTCTCTCTCTCTCTCTCTCTCTC